GCGACGTGAGGGGCCCAGTGTGGCTGCTGGGTGGGCGCAGGGGATGGCTGGGCGGGTCTCTGGGCACCCGAAAAGACGCCTGTGCTGGGGAAGGACCGGGAGGGGTGCAGCGTGTCTGGGAGCCTGGCCTCCTCACACCCTATGCCCCAATTCCCTCCCTCCGGGCCTGTGTCCTGGACACCTGCCCCTGCTGCCCCTGCCTACTGCATGCTCACCACCCTCTCCAGACCATTCCTCAGACCTGGGCACCGAGCCTGAGGTCTCAATCCTCCACCTCCACTCTGCTCAAAAGCCTGCCCTAGCTCCCTAGCACCGAACAGGGCAAGTTCTCCCAGACTAGAGCACTTACTATGCTCCAGCCTCCCGCGTGGGCACCTTCCCTCTCCTTCCTCTGAGCCCTTCACCACACTGCAACCAACTAAACTACTCTGATCTTGCCCATTCTGCTGGCAATTAAGTTACCCACTCTCAGCTCCAAATTCCTCCAAACTCACCCTTCTAGGTTCAGTTGTATGGTACTGGGGCCAGACCCTGAAGATTACATTTCTGGGCTTTCCAGGGACTACACGCCAGGCTCAGCCAACAAGGGGGCTCAGAGCCCCACACCTCTACACAAAAGCCATCCTCTGGCCATTGACCACAGGTTTCCTCTGCCCTGACGCTGTCCTTCCTGAGTGCACCAAACTTCCTTGATCCCTCTCCTGAGGGCCCCAGACCCCTGTCCACTCACCAGAGCAGTCCAATACTTAGGTCACTGACCCCCTCATTGCTTCTTTATATTGGGCCCAGCTGTCCATGTCCTAAAACCCAGTTGGGGCCCCTCTTGTTAGCTCCCAACACATGTGACACAGGCACCTAGCCGATATTTATAGGGAAGAACCCTGCCACCCTCCAGAGCCAGCAAGCTGGGATCATGACATGGCAAGTCTTTGTCTTGCACCTGCTGAAAGGGTGAATGAACACACAAGCAGGTGCAGGAAGCTGTGGCTGCCACAGGGCTCAGACTCAGGAGAAGCCCTTCTGGGAAGTGGCAACATCCTGAACGCATTCTTTCAGCCACAGGGCCATTTGCCCTTTAGAAGCCCAAGGGATTATGTGAAAACTTCAGGAGAGAATGGCAATTTGGGGCAAGACAGGCAGCCTTCAGGGTCCAGCAAGTCTAGGCATAAACAAACAGACACTGAAGTCAACACTGAGTTGGGGCTGCATGAGTAGGGACAAGGGTACAGAAACAAAGTCTTCCATGAGCTCCTGCTAGACCTCAAGCCCTCTGCCAAACACCTGGGCCCAGGTAGCCAACTCCTAGTCCCATGACTTTTCTGAACTAAACTGGGCATCAGGACCCCCATCTACAGCACAGGGGCACAGTCTAATAAGTCACTGAAGTGAATGCAGATGACACATTTGCTGTTCTGTTCAATGGTGCACCAAGTGATAGGATTCTAAGAGCTAGCTGCCATCACAAAACAACACACTGTTATAATACTTTCTTCCAACAATGTTTGCAAACACCTTCTATGTGCTTGGCTCTTGGAAAACAGTGGGAAGCAAAGACAACTCCTGCTCTCAAGGTACAAGGAGCACAGGCACCACAACCAGCAGGGGCTGCCCATGCAGTGCATCAGGGTCACAGCAGACACGCCTCTACAGCACCCTGGAAGGCTTTTCAAAGGGAATGCCTTGGATGCGATTATCCCACCTTACCAAGGAGGAACCCAGCACAGTGGCAATCTGAGAACAATGGCACCCCAAGCCCCTCTGTGCAGCCTGCTGCTGCAGTCCACACCTCCTACTGTAAGTCCTGGGGACTCCAAAACCCTCAAATTCCCTACTTTCTCAGTGTCCTGGGGCACAGGGGGTGGTAAAGAGTTCTCTAGGTGTACAGGACTGGGGATACCAGAACACCATGGAGACAGGGCTGGTTGTCCCATGTGGGTTCTGAGCCTCATGAAGAGGCATCCCACATTCACTTATGACCAGCCCCGACACTGCAGTGAGTTTTCTAACCACACCCTCTCTGCCTAGAATGTTCTCTCAGTTGTCCACTATCTAGAGCAAGCCCCAGCTTGAACCAGAAGCAAGTGTACATCAGCCTGCCCCAGCCCACAGGGCCTCACCTTCTTCCCTCCTCCATCCAGGGAGGCCTGTCCAAGGCCCCGAGAGTCCTCAAATCAAGCCCCAAGGCCAGGCACCACCTCTCCCTGTTCCCACGGCCACACCTAGCCCAGTGCTGGCACCCTCCCCCACCAGGGCCTCCCAGCCCCCTCCTACCTGATCTTGCTCTGGCTGCCCCTGCTTGAAGGGCCACCGGCGTCATTCTCCTGGTCACCATCACGATCGCGGTCTTTCTCCTCCTGCAGCCGCTGGAGCAGCAGCTGGTGGGGGAGGCTTCGCAGAGAGGGCCCAGGAGAGGCTGCCGGCTGTGCCTCGCCCTTCAGGTTGATGTCGCTGGCTGAGCGCTGCAGAGGCCGAGGGGATGCCAAGCCACTGGGGCCAGCCAGTCTCCGCCGTTTCGCATAGCTGGGGGTTTCCCTGAATGGCACTGGGGTGGAAGGGCACAGTGAGACTCTGAAGAGCCAGCTGGGTGACCGACTGTCCTAGTTTGCCCAGGTTTTAAAACTAAAATCCTGTGTTCTAGGAACTGCTTCAATCCCAGGCAAACTGTGACAGTTGGTCACTCTATAACTAAGCCACCATAGACAGGCCACATCCCAGGCAAGCTGCCTCTACCTCCAGCTTCAGGGACACATAGCTGCTATCCTCTCAGCCTGATGAGGCTTCGGTATGCCCAGATCTACGGTCAGTTTCTCATTTCATGAGCTTCAGTAGACACAAAATAGGCTAACCATGACCAACTCTACTAGACCACTGCTATGCAAGACTATTTAAGGGGTTAACTGTATCCAGGTAAACTGAAAAAGACCAAGTTTCATCAAATTACCATAAGAAAATAGATGGTAACTATCTCAGGCTTCTCTGAAAGCCATATAGTCTCTATAATTCTGCCACAGTAGTGTGATTAAATACATAAAGAAATGGGTATATCTGTGTTCCAATAAAACTTTATTAGAAATAGATGATGAGCTAAAAAATGTGATACAACCATATGATACTTAGAAAATCACTTTAGATCCAAAGACATAAATAGGTTAAGAGTTAAAAGATTTCTCACATAAATAGCAACCAAAAGAAAGCCGGGAGGCTACATTAACATCAGACAAAACAACTTTAAAATTTAAAAATGTAACAAGACAAAGGACATTAAACAATGGTAAAAGGCTCAACTAATCACAAGATTAATGATTATTAATGTATAAGCACCAAACAACAGACTACAAACTATCAGGAGTCAACAGTGGCATGGTTAAAGAGGGAACAGGCAGTCACCAGGGCAGCCGTAGGTGCCAGCACTGCGCTTCCTAGTGGACAGAGCCCTGGAGAGAAGAGCAGTGAAGAGAGGAACCTAAGGCGTCCACCTCGCAGGCATCGGCTCTCCCACCCAGCAGGGGGCACACTAGAGAACTCTTCTCAAGTGCACACGGAACAACATAGACCCCACGTTGGAGAACAAAACGAATCTAATCTCAATACATTTTAAAGACTAAAATCAAAGTATCTTCTTCAAGCACAATTGAATGAAGCTAAAAATAAAGAATAGAAGAAAACTGGAAAATCTGTATATGAAAATTAAATGCCACACCTGTGGGGGGGGAGGGAGAAAGACAGACAGACAGAAGACTGATGATTTAATCCAGTTGACACAGAGTTTAAGTTGCCCATGCTGGCCTCAAACTTAGATCTTCCCACCTCAGCCTCCCAAGTAGCTGGAATTACAGGTGTGCACCATCATGCCCAATTTAAATGCCATACACTTTAACAACCACATCAAAAAAGAAATTAAAAGGAAAATTAGAATTGATTTTGAGACAAAAACAAAAATTCAGCATAACAAAAGTGATAATATGCAACAAAGCAACACTTAAAGGTAAATTTATAGCTATAAGCATCTACATTTAAAAAGGCATGGGGCTGTGGGTACAGCATGGGCAAAGACCTGGATTCAATCTCTAGGACCAAAAAGGAAGAGGAAAGTCTTAAATTAATGACTTAATTGTATACCTTAAGGAACCAGAAAAAGAACCAACCTAGCAAAAGGAAGGAATGCTACTAGAGAAATGGAAATAACAAGATCAGAGCAGAGATAGTCAAAATAGAAAACTAATAGAGAATCAATGAAATGAAAAATTGTCTTTGTAAGTATCAACAAAACTGGCAAAACTTCCACTAGACTGACTAAAAAAGAGAGAAGATGGACAAAATCAGCTAAAACCAGAAATATCTGTAGCATTAGACTACAAGATAATGCTATGAATAATTGCCTACTAACTGTTACAGTTTGGATATAAGGTGTCCCCCAAAAAGCTCATGACATAGTCAATGAAGAATGTTCAAAGGTGAAATAATTGGATGATGAGAGCCGAAACCGAACCCATACACACGTCTATTGGATGGATCAGTAACTTGGCTGAACTACTGGGCGGTAACTAGGCTTGGCTTAAGGGAAGGGGGTCACTGGGGTCGTGTCCTGAGGGATTAGGTTTGGTCTCTGGCTCCTCTCTCACTGGGGCCTTTTCTCTCTGCTTCCTGGCTGCCATAAGCCGAGAAGCTTTCCCCCACCATGTCCTTCCTCTTGATGGTCTTTCTGCCTCCCTTCACATCCAGAGAAATGGAGTCACGGATATGAAGTGAACATCTGAAACCATGAAACACTGAAACAACACTTCTCCTTCTCAGAGCTGCTCTTGTCAGAACACCCCAAAAATCCAATGAGCCAGATAAGACGAGCACATTCCCAGATGAAGACAAATCAACAAAACAGACCAAGAAGAAACTAAAATCTAAGCAGACCCGTAACACCCAAAGTTTGCAATTCAGAGTCAGAACCTTCCCAGGAAGAGAAGCCCAACCTCTGTGGCACACTGTGGGCCCTGCCAACACCCGAGTCGGCAGCAGCCCTCCTAGGCTTCCGAAACAGAGGACAGGGCAACACTTCCCAACTCGTCCTTTGGGACCGGTATTGCCAAGTCCAGATAAAGACATGACAAAGAAAAAGACCAGCCAGGCACAGGGGCACGCGCCTACAACCCAGTGACGGGAGAGGCGAGCCAGGAGGTCCCAGGTTCCTAAGTTGCCACATTCAGCCACTCTATAACTAAGCCACCATCGAGCGGCCACGTCCCAGGCAAGCTGCCTCTAATAAATAAAAATACTTTTCAAAATAGAAATTTTAAAAGCCTCAGAATAAAATTTTAAAAAGGCTGGAGATGCATCTCAGTGATGGAGCACCCCTGGGTTCAATCCCCAGCACTAAAACAAAGAGGAAAAAAGAAATATATCTAGAGACCACTGAAATTCATGTGATACATGACATCAATAAGAACAGAGGGGGAACCTTATGACTGTTTCCACCGATACAGAGGACCAGACAGTAAGAATGGAGGGAAACATCCTCAACATGGCAAGACACACTTGCAAAGAACCCACAGCCAACATCCCACTCAGGAAAGAAGGTCAAAAGCTTTCCTTAGGATCAGGAGCAGAGTCAGGAAGCCCACTTTTATTAACACTATTCAGCACTGTACTGGAAACTTTAGGGGAGCAATTAGAAGAAAAACAAGGTATAGAAAGGGGGAAAGAAAAGAAAACAAATGAAAGGCATCCAAATTGGGAATGAAGAGTTACATTTACCTGTATTTGCAGATGGCATGATCCTAAACATAGAAAATCCCAAGAATCACCAAGAAAGCTACCAAAGCAAATAAACAAAGTGAGCAAGGTTCTAGGGTACAAAATGTACAAAAATCACCTGTTTCTATACACAAGCAGTGAGCAATCCAAAAGAAAATTAAGATAACTCCATTTGTAATAGCATCCAAAAAAAATAAAATACCCAAGAATAATTTAACTAAGAAAGTAAAAGATTTGTAAACCAAACCTGACAAAACATTTCTTAAAGAAGAATAAACAAATGGGAGGGAATCTCATGTCATTAATTAGAATATTGTTAAAAAGATATCGGTCCTAACAGAATGATCACAGATCCAATGCAAGCCTATCAAAGTTATTTTTGCAGCAATAGAATGAAAATCTTCAGATCCACAAAGAATTGCAAGGGGCCCTGATTAAACAAAACACTATAAAAAAGATGAACAAAATTGAAGAAAACCTAATTTGAAACCTCCCAATTATAAAACTTTCACAGAGTTACAATGTGAACAGTATCAAAAAAGAGGAACAAAGTTGAAGGAAATCTCTAGATTTGAAACATCCTAATTTTAAAACTCACCAAAGCAAGAGCAATCAAAATCATGTGAATACTGGCATAAGAAGAAACATGTAGGCTAGGCGTGATGGTGCACACCTGTAATCCCAGCAATTTGGGAGGCTGAGGCAGGAGAATCATAAATTCAAAGCCAGCCAGGGTAACTCAATGAAGTGCTAAGCAACTTAGTGAGACCCTGTCTCAAAAATCGAAAAGAAAAAGGGGGCAGGGGGCTGCTAGGGATGTAGCTCAGTGGTAGAACAGCTATCTGGCCTGAGTGAGGCCCTGGGTTTGATTCTCAGCATCACAAAATAAAAAAAAATTTAAAAATTAAAAGGGGACTGGTGGTGTAGCTCAGTATTAGAACACTTGCCTAGCACTTGTGAGGCACTGGGTTTGATCCTCAGCACCACACATAAAATAAATAAATAAAATAAAGCCATTGTGTCCATCTACAACTAAAAAATATTAATAATAAAAATTTAAGGGCTGGGGATGTGGCTCAAGCGGTAGCGCGCTCGCCTGGCATGCAAGCGGCCTGGGTTCGATCCTCAGCACCACATACCAACAAAGATGTTGTGTCAGTCAAGAACTAAAAAATAAATATTAAAAAATAAATTTAAAAAATTAAAAAAAATTTAAATAATTTTTTTAAACATTAAAAGGACTGTAATTCAGTGGTACAGAAGTACCCTCCCCCCCCAAAAAAAAAAAAAAAAAAACATAGACCCAATGGGATACAACTGAGAACCCAGAAATGAACCCACATATCGATGGCCACATGATTTTGAAAAGAATGCCAAGAACATTCAATGGGATAAGAATGAGAGTCCTTTCAACAAACAGTGCCAGACAATTGTACATCCATATGCAAAAAAATGAAGACAGATTTCTACCTCACACCACATACAAACATTAACTTAAAATAAATCAATGCCTAAACATAAGGGCTAAACCCATAATTCTCTTAGAAAAAAAACAGAATGGTAGAAAAAGTTCTCACTGGGAAGCCACTAGATGGGGGTGGCTCTGACACTGTAAATTCCTACACGAACACACCAAAGCCCACTGTAAACGGTAAACTGAAACTAGAAACAGGTCCAATCAGAATCCACAACCAAGGTCCAGCTGAGCACAGTCCCTCGGTCCTGCTTCCACAACTACTCTTGAAGTGTTTTTCCCGTGCCCCTCCCAGAAGAGCACTACCTCCATGCTGTTCT